TGAGAATGGGGTCAACATTCCTCTGAGTTGCCTGAAGGGCAGGGTTGGACATCTGAACAAAAACTGAGTTCTGTTAGAAGGAAGAGGGGGAAATGGAGGTTGGTTGTGTAGGCAGCCAATTGGGTGCACAGCACTACGTCTTCTTAGCCTCTCCACTCCTCTTGGATGCGGGAGATAGGTCTCCACTGCCAAATGGAATCATTAGCAATGAGCTGTCAAATACAAGCTCTGAAGAGAATTTAGGTTCCCCGACGGAAAGTATTTTCTCTCCTGAATGTTCTGTTTCTCTGCTTAGCAACAGATTTTCAGGTAATAGTCAGCTCTTCTCTTTCTTCCGGAGATCTGCACAGAGCATTTTTAGACCACAGACACAGACACGCTGTCTCAGACACACACTCACACACTGACATAGAAAGACATACACAGAGACACCCACCTTGAGCTGCTCACTCAGAGAACATTCGAGAAACATCCAGGAAATTGACCGTGTACACACTGTTAGAATGGTTTTTAAAGGGAAAAGCTAATTGTAGTTCCTGGTTCAGTTTTGGGTAAACACAGGTTGTATTAGGACTAAGTGAGCCTGCATATAACTGATAATATTTCTAATTAGACACATGTGTTCTTTTCCGGGTCCCTAAGTAACCCACTGAGTGTAATTGGTTGTTAAATATACCCAAAGCCAAGAAGATCCTGTAATCACCCTTCGAAAGTACTGGTCTTCGAGCATTGTTTACGACCCTAGAAGAGTTTGTATTGGGGATTAGCATTCACAGACATGAAGAGATGAATACTAATGAGCACTCATTTTCTTTAAGCCTATTATTGACTTTGTCATATCAGCTCGTGTTCTGCAGTGCTATAAATTCTTAATACCAACTGAGGACATTGTTATTACAGCCTCTGCATACTGGTCAGGAACAGTGAGGGTGAAACAGCCTGGCTGTGCCACCAGAAATTCACAGTTGAAATTTATTCTGCATATGCTCAGCATGCTGAGCGAGGGTATGGTTTTCCTTGCCCTCTACTAAGACTTTCAAGGGGAAAGTAAATATTAAGTGCTTTAAAGACATTATTGATAAAGCAAAGCAGCTTCTAGTTACTTATTTATTCATACTCAACAACTCTGTGTTTGCTGCACTGAGATGTAGCTGGTCCGGTTCTAGGCTCTGAAGATGCACCAGGAAAGAAGCAGACAAGGATTCCTGCCCTCATAGGGCTTATACTCTAGTAGGCTGGAGAGAAAGTTTAGGAGCTGCAGTATCTAGATGGTATTTAAAGCTATGACACTGGATAAGATCACCAAGAAAGTGAATGGTGATAGAAAAGAGATTTCCGAGGACTGAGGGGCACTCTAATAATATGTGGTAAGAGAGATGAGGAAGAGACAGACACAGAGCAACTGGTGAGGATGGAGGAAGTCCAAGACAGGGAGGTGTTCTGTAAACTGAGTGAAGTTTTTCAAAGAGGGGAATATACACTGATATTCTGATGCTGAGAATTAACCATAGAATTTCATTATGCGGAGGTCATTGTTGATCCCGATAAAAGTGATTTTGCTGGAGGAGTAGGAGAAAGGAGTTGACGGAACTGTGTTCAAGAGAGAGTGAAAAGAGAGAAACAAATGGCTGGGGAAAAAAGCCCCATTAAGACAATGTTCTGTAAAGGATATTACTTATCTGGTCTTTTTGTTCATTTGTTGTGTGATACCAAAATTGTGACTAAAATCGAAAGCCGCAGCGTGTTAGATAAAAATGTCTTTAACAATATCTTGAGGTTTTTGTTTTTGTTTTTAAACCTGGAATTTTAGACAAAGATTGTATTACTTAGGATACTAATTTGGCTGCTGTAACAAAGGCCAAAATAGCAGTGGGTCAAACAAGATGGAAATTTATTTCTCTCTTACTTAATGGTCTGAGTGAAAGGATTCAAGAAGATCAGTGATGTTGGGGATCTGGGGTCCTTCTTGCTCTGCCATGCTCAACACATGGCTTCCATATTGTGATCTGTGAAAGCTGCTTTAACTTCCACCTTGACTTCTACATTCCAACAGACGGGAATAAGGAATAGGGAAGAAGATATTCCTATATTTTTAGGGGTGTGACTTGTAAATTGCACATCACCTTCTCTCATTTCCTACTGGCCAAAACCTGGTGACATGACCACATCTAGGTCATGACCACATCTAGGTACAAAGGTGGCTGGGAGATGTAGGCTTTGGTGGTAGAGTTATATGTCCAGCTAAATTTTTCTATTATGAAAAAAGGAAAAGGGACAAGATGCTGGGGGACAATTAGCAAACTCTGTCACAAAGACTGATTGAAAACAACTGAACTGTGACTATGGACTGAAAACTTTATAAATTTTTTTCCTGTGCAGTTAAGCATAATTATATTCAATGAATAATTTAATATTAAGCTTAAGTTTTGCTCCATTAAGAATTAGGTATCAGGTCATGCTGGTCATTTTCAGTGCTACAATGGTTATTGCCTTGGGTCTAGCTTGTATCTTGTATCTACCAATTGTGTAAGATTCTTATTTTCTGAAAGCACATTTGTTTATAGTATAGCCTACAAAATGCCTGTTGTCAGTTATTTGTTTAATAGGGCACAGCTTCTCTTTGTTTTTCTATCACCTTTTGAGCTCTTTTTGTTGCTTCTGTCCATTGCCTCTTGCAGCAGTATCTCCCCAAAGAAGATTTCCTCCTAACTCATTTTATGAGGATAGTATTACCCTAATACCAAAACCAGGCAAGGACATCAGAAGAAAAGAAAACTACAGACCAATATCCCTTATAAATATAGATGCAGACATCCTCAACAAAATAGTAACAAACTAAATCCATCAGCATATATGAAGGATTATACACTGGGACTAAATCGAATTTGTCCCAGGAATGCAAATTTGGTTCAACATACAAAAATCAATGTTTAATGCACCATATTAATGGAATAAACGATCATCTCAATAGATGCAGAAAAAGCATTTGACAAAATCTAGTACTCTTTCATGATGAAAACACTCACAAAACTAGAAATAGAAGGAAACTCTCTCAACCTGATAAAGGTCATCTCTAAAAACCCTAGCTAACATCATACTTAATAGTGAAAAACTGAAAGCTTTTTCTCTGAAAACAGGAGCAAAACAGGGATGTGTCTTCTTGCCACTTCTAATCAACATTGTGCTGGAGGTTCTAGCTAGGGAAATTAAGCAAGAAAAGGAAATATAGGCCCCTAGATTGGAAAGGAAGAAATAAAACTCTTTCGTTTGTGTATGAAATGATCATATGCATAGAAAAACCTAGAGTCCACCAAAAAACTATTAGCACTAATACACAAAGTCAGCAAGGTTGCAGGATACAAGATCAACAGTTGAATCTAAAGTATGGGGAAGGTTAGTGGTTTGCTTCTTTTGGAAAATACAGTCACTTTCTGATGGGTGTTCAAATTAAAGAAGGCTCTGTAGAATTACACATGCCAGGTGTTTCCTATGCAGCACTGTGAAAGCACCCTCTGCTGGCTGCATCTTGGGCTCTCCTGTTTAATTTCATGCTCACAGTGGAGAAGTCTGGTGGTTTTCAAGTGCCAGCACTAGGAGGAGGAATGCTTTTCTTTGATAAAATTTCACTGGACTGTAGTAAGATGAAAACAAAGTATGATTGATATAGCACAGCTTTAATTCCATTTAAAGAATTGTCCTTATCTTAAGAATATAGTCTTCCTAATTTTTTGGTGTCAGATGTGTCCCTTTCTTTCTATGAATTTGTCATGGTAGTTTATACTAGGATCTTTACTGCTTTTATAATTTTATTTACTCAGTGCTGTTACTTGGCAAAGTGAAAAGCTAATGAGGTTCCCCAATTTTTATTTATTTTTGAAAATTTACTTTGTGAACTTTGAGAATCTGGGAAAAGCAGGTTTCAGTTACATTAGCTATGTTTACTAGGTTTCTAGGGTTCTCTCCGGCAAGCTATCTGATTACAAAACATTTTGATGACCTACCCCAAATTCCTGTATGATTCTTACTGCACTGTGTGTGCTCGTGAACTTTCCAAGTTCTTTACGTAAGGTCTATGAATAGACACTGACCCATGGGCTTTCAAAAATGTACTTTGACTAGAAAAGAGACAAAAAAGAACAATACCCATAGTTTGAATGACTTCATTTTTAATGTTCTGGGTTTTTTTTTTGTTTTTCTGTCCAATGTCTTCTTTCTTTTTTATCTGAATTTTTGAATTTATTTTTTTGTACAGCAGGTTCTTATTAGTTATCTATTTTATACATATTAATGTATATATGTCAATTCCAATAATGTTCCGTTGACTTCAATTATTTCATGATTGTCTTGTTCATAATGATAACACCCGGTCAACCTTATGCAGGCAAAGCCAACAAAAGTTTTGATGATCCTGGAGGGTTCTTTTCCCTTGTCTTCAGAATAGTGAAATAAATATCACTATCTAAAACGTCATGTAGTTTTATCACATTGGACCTCACATCACAGCAATGGTTCTCTTGCTCTGAATTGCACCCTGTTCTTTTTGAGCTAAAAAATGTTCTCCAACTCTCTATTCATGCAATGATAGGAGTAAAGGCCCACAGAGGTTAACCATCTTGCTTGAGGTAATGAAATTAGGATCAGAGCCAGATTTCCTGATTTCTAGCCTATTGTTCTTTCCACATCGCCAGACTGTCTTCCTCAGATTTCTGTTCTGAAAAAACAAACTCTGAAGAGAAAGAATCAAGCAGAGTGAGAGAAATCTCTGAAAGCCTTTTTATTTTTGATGACGTATGCTACTATTTAGTTTACAAAATGGAGCTCTGGCACCGTGCAGTTCAACGAATGTTGATTGATCAGACTCGCCTGTGTTCACAGACTTGTGGAGTGTTGGAGTCTGGGGGACTTTTGAGATTGTCCAATCTAGAAGCTTCTGAATGATCCAAAGCTGCACAACTCTTTCTTCAAATGAACCCTTCCATAGAAACTCAGTCCAAGAAGCAATGGTTCCAAGTGAAGCTTCTCCCACAGAGGCGGCGGGGGGCGGGGGGGCGGGGGAGGGGGGCGCCTCTCCCCAGGGCGGGGCACACCTGCAGGCCCACGGGGCACGGACGGTGCCATGCCGGCCTCTGCCCCGTCCCTCTGTTCCTGACCACACGAGGGTGGCCAATGCCTCTGAGCCCCCCAGGGTACAGCCCCCCGCCGGGTGCCCAGCACTGACCCACTCAGCTCCGCGGCAACCCAAGGGCCTGCTGGGCCAGGGCGTCGCCCCACAGGTGGAGAGAGGAAGGCCAGCCCAGGGACGTGGGCCGCGTGCAGGGCCGGCTCTGCCACTGCAGCCCTCCTCCACCCCGAGGCCAGAGCCCAAGGGGCGGGCAGGGGCGCCGGGTGAGCGGGCGCCCACCAGGCGGGGGAGGGGGGAGCTGGGATCTGTCCCAATCCCTCCATCACCCCTCACCTCCAGGGACCCTGGCACCTATGTCCGAGCACTGGGCTCTGTGGTGAGCAGATTCAAAAATGAAAGGCCTGGTTTTGGCCCTCATTTTTTCTCTGAAGAAATTGAGGCCGTACCTTTATTCTCTAAATTATATCCTCAAGTACCTTCTTAAGAAACGGTGTTTGGAAGGCAAAAACTCTATTCCTTGCAAGTCTGAAAAAGTTTTTATTTTGCCCTCACATTTGATTAAGGATATGTAAGTTGAAAATAATTTTCTTTCTGAACTTTGATGGCATATCTTCATCGCATAGAAGTCTGATGCCATCTGATGTTCTCATTCCTTTTGTGAGGAATATATTTTTTTCCCTCTCTCTGGACAGTTAGAATCTGATTTTAATTTTTAAATTTCCTTTTGCTACATGCTTGGCCCTTAACACTTGTAATTTTTTGTATTATGTGTAAAGACCCATGTACATAAGTGTGTGTATATGCATGAATATGTGTATACCCTTACCATGTTAATGTTCCACATAGTCCTTACTTCTTGGATCTGATTTCACCTGTGTTTCTGCAGAGAAATGATTTGCTTTCACAGCAGCCAATGTTGTCAATCCCTCTCCCATTTCAGGAGCTGAGAGGACCCTGCTGTTTTTGTTGCTGCCCTAGAACCCACTTTAAAAACCACCTGGAGCTATTAAATAATCTGTGGTTTCAGAGGCACAGGAAGGGCAGGTGTTATAAAAGCAGGAACAAGTCGTGACCAATTCTGAAGCTAGATTCTTAGCAAGGACAGCCCTGCCTATTCCCATATGGTTCTGATGATTAATTTATGTGTCAGCTTGACTGGGCCACAGGTGCTAAGACATTGGGACAAATGTTATTCTGGGTGTGGCTGTGAGGGTGTTTTTGGATGAGACTAACATTTAAATTAGTTAAATTAAATCTGAGGAAAAGCAGATTGCCCTCCCTAATGTCAGTGGGCCTCATTCAATCAGTTGAAGAGCTGAATAGAACAGAAGGGCTAAGCTTCCCATGAGTAAGAGGGAATTCCTTTCGCTTGCCTGAGTGCTTTTGAACTAGGACATCAATTCTTCCAGTCTTTAGACTTGAACTGAAACATCAGCTCTTCCTTGGTCTACACTAAGACCTGTTGGTCTTCAAAACAGAATTATACCATTAGCTTCCCTGGATCTCAGGTCTTTGAACTTGGAATGGAGCTATCCCATGAGCTCTCCTGGGTCTCCAGCTTGCCAACTGAAGATCCTAGGGCTTGTCAGCTCCCAGAATTGTGTGAGCCAATTCCATATAATACACACGCACACACATACACTCTCACACGCTATTGGTCTGGTTTTTCTGGAGAACCTTGACAAATACAATGGTGTCCAAACTGACATTAATCTGTATGTTTTAATATTTATTTTATTTCATTGACTGGAATTCTATTAATTAGTGCCTCATTTAGTTTAACAAGCATTTTCCTTTAAAATACAGAAAGAAACAGACTTCCAGTTACTGGTCCAGCATGTAAGCAGCTTAGAAGTCACCATACCATCCTGAATACAAGGAAAAAGCTGAGCAAACTGAAAAATCCACAGATCTCTTGAATTTGTCAGAGAGGTAAGATCACAGGGCCAACTGCTAGTCCTAAAATTAGAATGACAGGCAGGCAGATACAGGGAATCACAACTCACCAGAGTAGAAACCTCCAAGCAGAAACCTCTGCAGAAGCCAGTGCCACGATAGGAAAACCTGAGCTATAATTGACAAATTCCTGGACACTCAGTGTAGACAACTGTGAGAGTTAAGAACTTCAGAGAGACCCAGTTACTGGGAAGCCTGCACACTTTTGTGTTTTAACTCTAGGAGTTCTACCAGGTCTCACGGTGAATCTTGGAGAAAAATCTTCTTGTGATTCTAGAAGGAGAGGTAAAGGAACCATTTTGAAATATGTGAGAGCATTCTGTTCTGTTCTCAGAAGAAACTATTTTACCAGAGCTTAATCTGCTCGAGATTTATCAGAGCATAACCTACCTGAGGGAAGAGAAATACCCAACTTCAGTCTGCTCTAGTCTTCCATGTACGGGAAGGAAATACTCAATCCTACCCCCTCCCCTGCATCCTGTCCCACCTAAGGGGAGAAAAAAAATGAGAGGCATTGGAAAAATTCATAGTGCAGGGAGACACATTATTATTTAAATTAGCACCCTCAGAAATGAAATATGTCCATATAGCCTAACACAATACGTACAAGATGTATATGAGGAAAACTACAAAACTATATGATGAAAATACCAAAGAACTAAATAGACGAGAGATAATCCATATTCATGGATAAAAAGACTCAATATTGTCGAGACATGAGCTCTTGAATATAGCCAATATTTTATAATAACTATGAATGGAGTATAACCTTTAAAAATGGTGAATCACTATGCTGTACACCTGTAACTTACATAATACTGTACAGCAACTACACTTCAATTAAAAAATAGATACCAGCTCTTCCCAATGTGATACATAGATTCAACACAATTCTAATCAACATCTGAGAAAGTTATTTTATGGATGTGGACAAACTGATTTTAAAGTTACTGTGGAGAGGCAAAAGGCCTATAATAGCCAGCTCAGTATTGAAGGAGAGCAGAGTTGGTGGACTGAGATGACCTGTCTTCCAGACATTATAAAGCTACTGTAACAAAAACATTGTGGTGTCGGTGAAATAATAGACAAATAGATCAATGGAACAGAATAGAGAGTCCAGAAATAGACCCACATAAATATAGTTAACTGGTCTTTGACAAAGGCGCAAAGGCAATAAAATGGAATTTTAGTGGTCATTCCCATTTTAGTGTGAATTAGTTTGTATGTGGGGGGTCATTTTCTTCTACTAAGGAGGAAAGGAAGAAGAGGGTAATTTTAGGGCTTAGAGAAACATAATAGCACTAAGACTTGGAGGGGTAGAAACTAGTAGGTGATTGGTAGTAAAGGAGTTAAAATGGCACCCATGTTAATTTTTGCCAGTTGAAAAGTGGTATCTAAGATTGGTCCTATGTTGTGTGAAGGCATTGTTGTGTTGATGTATATATGTTTTTTTTTCTTTTATAACAGAATCATTTGCACATGCAATTTTGTGTCTTCCTTTCTAATGCTTTCACCTTCTTAATCCCTTTTCTTGTCTTATTGCATGAACTAGAACTTGTAGAACAATGTTGAATAATAGAGAATAACAGTTGGATTCCTAGTCTTGTTCCTGACTTTAACTTGAATACACCCAGAATTTTAAACTTAAATATAGTGCTTTTGATTTCTGTTAATATCCCAGAATTAGAAAGACACATCCATAACAATAAAGTGTTCTAAGAGCTTTAACTTAAAATGGCTATTGACTTTTGTTAAATACCTATTAATGTATTTAAATTATTTTATTTATTTTAACTTTTGTATAAATTGAATAACTATATGTACATATCCTCACACACATGCATAATTTTCATATGTGGGAAAAATGTGTGATGTATGTACTTTTTACATCCTGACCACATATTCTCTCTCTCTCTTTTTTTATGTACAGTATGATCCATTTTATATACAATTTGAACAAAGGAAAAGGGAAGTCATTTATTGTTTGGGGTTACATATATAGGTGGTAAAATTAAAAGGAGAAAATATGAATGATTTAAAAGATAATTATTACCTTGAGGAGGGTTGTGTGCATAGATTTGATTGGGGAGAGTCATACAAGGAGGTTTCAAGGTACGTATTGGTAATATTCTATTTTGTGACCTATGTGGTTGGTACATGGGTGTTCAGCTTAGTATGATTGTTTATCTTTATACACTCTCCTGTATATATATAACCTACTTCACAACAAAAATTTTAATTAAACATTTACAATTCTGCAAAGTGAACATTTGGACATTTTCTTTCATTATTTACAAACACGTGTCTCAAAGCCTTTTAATAAATTAGAAATCACATTCATAAGTAAAAATAACATTAACACTACACATATTCTCTTATAACCTAGATTACCAACCTCAGATGTTTCCTCCTGTGCTTTTTCCATGTTAATGTAATTCTTTACATATGTATATTTTAGGTAATTTTTGGATTTGGCTTTTTTTTTTTATTCAATAATACTTCATGGAAATCCCTCCAAGTTAAACAAATGTTACATTTTTAGTTTTGCCTCTGCTAGTTATTAATTGCATGTCCTTGGGTAGGTTAAGTAACTTTTCTGGCACAAGTATTCCCATCTAAACATGAGGATAATTATTTCTTCCTCCCAGGACTACTGTGAGAACCAAATGATATCATAAATATAAAGCACTAAACATGGACCTGGCAAATAATAAGCTCTAAACAAGTGTTACTTAATTTCATGCCTGGTACAGGGAGAGAACGCCCTTTCTTTCCCTTTTGGCACTCATGGCCTTTAGCCAGAGGATTTGTAACTCAGCCAGTGCCTGAGCATTTGCTGAGGGGCCCTGGGTAGTTGTTTGTTCCACAGCAACTATTCTGCAGCCCCAAGGCCTGGATTTGAGAATAAAATAGGGAAAGGTATGGTTGGTGGTGTATACAGTAAGTGCTCAGTGCAGGCTGCTTCCCTCTGCTCCTGATATGGTCTAGCCTACGGATTGCTTGTGCTTTGATTGGTAGCCTAAGGACTCTTAACTGTCCTTCATACTTTTCTCAATTCTAAACGTGGGCCTGCCAGTGAACTTCCAGAGTGTATGTTCTCAGTGAGTTGGGGCATGCCTGAGTCCTGACTGTCCCTTCACTGGTTCATGGCATATCCCAGTGGGCGCTGGGGTCATGCTCTGTTCTCAGCCTTTGCCCTTCCTTTTGTTTTCTCCCTGCATGTGGGAATACGAATTTTGTTTCAAGTTACTCATCTTGTTCTGTGGGGTGCAGATCTACCACTGGTCAGGCAAGCAGTATGAAGTGC